GAAGGCAATGTTTCTATTTACTTAAATTTTCATACCCAAATAAAAAGTAATGAAAAAATTTGTCAATATTTATTTGTTTCTTTTGTGTTATTTTTTTTTTATAATAATTACGAAACTAAATTGAATAAATGTTTAATAATAAATGTATGCGTTCGTTTTTAAGTTTTATTATATAAGATGATAAGGTGTTTAGTAATAATTAAGACATGGAAGGTGTTGAATATATCAAGCTAAAAAGCCATTTTGTTAGCCATTTTGTAAGCCATTACAATGATGAGTTTAAATACAAAAAATAAAAAAGCATATTTTAGAATATTTTGTTATTTTTGAAAACGTGTATATTCTTCATTTTTCTTGTAATTTTATACTAATTAAATTATTTTCTAAAAAAAATTGATGTTTTCTTCTAATACCTGTGATTTTATTATTTTATCTTCGATTATTTGATGTACTTACAGTCACCATACCTTACATTAACCATATCGACTATTAATTTAACGGAATGTATTTAATCTTTAATGCACCAACACTAAATAATATTATCTTGCACAAAACTCGTTTACGTTATGTTATGTTTATGGTATCGAAGTTTATTCTATTTTATAAGATCTGTTAAATTATTTAGCATCTAAAAACAAATAAACATGAATTGTTGTTAAATCATCATCAAATCGGATGAAAATGACAACTACACAGTAGTTTTTTTTTTTTCAAATGCATACCTGCAAAAAGTGTGTACTTTCAATGGATTTATGCAAATCAATAATGCGTGCTAATATTTCTTTTAATAAAATTATGAATACTGAATTTGGGTCATACTTAATAAAATATAACCATACAGATATTCCATGTGAAACTACTAGGAGAAAAATGTATTTAATTGAATTTTACGAAGAAACAATCGATAAAATTAGAAAACACGTAGCTAAGAATAAAATTAGGGTATTAATAGATGAAAGTATATACGTCGAAGGTAGATTTATTGTTGGAAATTTGAAATTTGAAATTGATTGTCATAATTGTTGGAACATAATTGTTTGATAAACTTGGTGACATATATTTGATGACATCTAAAATTCTTATATTTGATGCATCAATGTGTTTCATTAGTAAGAAGATGAAATCCAACATGATGACATATATCTATTTATAAGAGATGTGGCTCCGTATATGAAAAAAGCTAGTACAATTATTAAAGCATTATACTCAAGACGGACGTTTGGCTCACGGAATCTATAGAATAGCACAAGAAATACGTGGTAATAAAAAATACGTAGTCCCAACGGTAGATAAATTATTATTGAGGGTAAAACAAAAATTTTTAAAAGCTTCGCTTAGTACTATATAATTTAAAAATGAAGCTCCTGGAATTCCACTTCCACCGGAGCCCATACCAACACGTTATATAGACATAATCAGCTTCATACTACCATCTACGTTAAAAATTATACAAAATTGTATTACTTCTAAATTCAAGCAATGCGGTTTCAGTTAGAGAAACCTAAATTATTGTAAGTGAACATTCTGTGAAAATGAACTTAGCTTTCATTTATGCAAATTATGATTTTTTGCTGGCAACAATAACACAACTTGAAACACAAAAACTTCGGTTAAGTACATGGATGAATAGCAACAGTAAAATCCGTGGAAATAAGGTAGAGCACATTATTAACGAGGCATTGTAATCGAAGAAAAATTTAAAAATATTTTGGAAAAAACTCATGGTTTTAAAAAAATTTAAGATTTAAGAAAAATACAAGCATTTTAACTGGTTTTTTAGCAACATAAATGGGAGGATTACCAGAAAACTTAAATGGGAATGACTTGGCGCACTTTAAATATACACCCATAACGAAAAATAATAATAATCAAATTTTGAAAGAGGCTTTTCGCGCTAGAAAAATATACTTACAGACAATCGTCGTTCGTTTGATATGTTCAATGCTATACATTATAAATATGAAAATTACAATAATTTATACGTTTATTGAGTTAAATAAATACAAGTATCTATAATCTGTCAAATAACACTTTATATTTTTATTTTTAATTTAAAAAAAATTGCAATTCATTAAAATCAGTCAAACAATTTTGAATTCAACTAAAATATTTATCAATAAATCAATCTAGTAATACTATTTTGCATATTTAATACATTTTTTTTTTTGTATATAAGTATAACATTTTTTCATGCATATTCAACAATTTTTTGCACATATTACGCCTATTTAGATCCTATAACTTTCGAGCCCTAGTAAAAATCAAATTCTCTTTATTATATAATTTATTTGTAGATAATTTCTACGGGTACGGTCGAATTGCACTTATTTTAGTCGAATTGCATTTGGGTTTAAAAAAGGTAATGGTCGAACTGCACTCGGATAAAAAGCAGGTAGTGGTCGAACTGCACTTGGGTTCAAAAAAGTATTTTAATAAAATTATCATACATTTGAAGGTGTTAGATTTATTTTATTTAGTTGCATTTATTATCATTTAGTTATCATTAGCGTGGTTAAAAATTATTGTTTTATACATGACATTATGTTAATTATATATATTTACATTATAATTGTTAGATTGTACATTATATTATATTATATTATATATATTATTATTATTATTAGATATACATTTTTTTTTTTTAATCGTCAAATTTAATTATTGTCATTACTATAATTTTTTTTTTGTCACTTCGATCATTTTTGGTAGTAATGACTTACTGTATTCAAAAATTCTACCTTGATAATACGCTTCTGAGTATGTATGTTATTATTATATAATATTATATCTGCGTTTTCTTAATGGCACGAACTAATATATAATGCTATTAAATAAGTACGCTGTAGCGTTCTTCATCAGAAAGATTCATAATATTTTTAGAGGGTTTTCCAACATAACTCTTTTTTTGAACGAGTGCAGTTCGACCACTACCTGATTTTTACTGGAGTGCAGTCCGACCATTACCTTTTTTCAATCCAAGTGCAATTCGACCATTTATTTGTAGGCAATTCGACTATCCCGATTTCTACGGTTAGAAAACTTTAATATCAGATTTATAAAATCTCAATTTGAATTAACTAACATATTTGTGCAGTATAGAAACTTCACATATTAAACTATATTAATGGTACATAGGAGTCGTTTAATTTTAATTTTTGTAGGTTTCCTATCAGATTGTACAGTCGTTCGCAATATACGAGTATACATTGCACGTAATTTTGTAAATAATATTGTTCTTTAGAAATTTAATCGCTAAAATATATGAGCCTAACAAATATTATTGCACTTAAGATAGGTATTTATATATTTATATATGTAATATGTTATCTGTTTAACTCATTACTAAAATAACATTACATAATTTGTTATAAAAATTGCACTAAAATTCATAACAATGCGGTCGTGAGTTCATGAATAGTAATGGCAACCAACCAATTACGCTGATTCAAAACCCGATGCATGTATTTTATCAAAATGTAATAATATTAAAGTATAATAATGTTCAAAAGAAATTATTTCGATGTGAATCGTTAATTAGTTGCCATGGTCTATTCAAATATTTTGACAGACTAAAGCAATAACAGATTATTGAAGGTGATGACAAAACTGTACGTATTGTATAACATATATGATAGTATTAGTAATATTGAATCTATTTTAGAATAGTGAATACAAGGATTTTAACTTTTTTTTTTTTAGTTTTTATTTATATTTAGATTATGTGCGTATATAATATACTATATACTATATACCTGTATGTATTAAAATGTTTTATCTATCGTAAAACTTACAATATAAATCAATTCAATACCTACGCTTCTAATAACTATTTGGTTAGTTTTGGCTTCTTAATTTTTGATATTTTTTCATCACCAAATTACATTACAATTATAATAATGCGTTATTAAATTTAAGTGACTTATTTCAAATTATTTATTTACGTTTGTAAATTATAAAATTAATTAAATAAAATTATTCGTTGTCTATAAAAGATATTTTTGTTTTATATAATTTACTTTTTAGTTGGGTGTGTCATTCTCAACTATCAAAATGAATATTATAGCTCCTGTGACAAAATAGTATTTTAATTTTAATAAAATGTATTGACTGTGTAAAAACTCATAAATTATAACGTAATTATTTAAGTACAATATCAATCTGTTTACCGTTCTATACGTATGTTCCTTTTGAAAACGTTATGGTTTTATGTTTTAAACAAACGATGCATACATGAACTCTCACCATCATATGGGTCAAGTTGTTTTTATTATTATTTTTGTGATTATTATTCTTAACTAGACTATAGCGTTTACACACAATAACAATTAAAAAAATTACTAATAATTAGTGGATAAATAATACAAATATAAAGCCTTTTAATGTTCTATTTACACAAAAGATCTCACACAAAGTGGTTTAATTTTGATTTCCAATTTTACTTCGAAATGGCAATGGACTTAAATAAACATGATATTTACATTTATGAATACACAAAAAAAAAATTGACACTTGTTTGTATAAATAAGACGTGTCGACGATTTTTCGTATTTATTCGCTGATGACAATCATCAAGTCTAAATATCAATTGAACTATTTTGCATACATAATATATTTAACGGTAATTTTTTATTTTAAAGTTTTTTTCTCGGTAATAAATAAATCACATTTATAGAATATACTCATTTGTTTGGTTTTGCTGTTACGTTCGAAAACATATATATGAATGCTGAAGTATACAACGTGTTATAAAACAAGGTCTTGTATGTTAATTTTTATAGTGTTTACGTGCGTAAATTGCAGAACTTTAACGAATAAATGCATTTTATCAGTTCTGCCTATGTTTTACCCGATAGTTTGTTCGTGTTTACCTATATTTACATTATTACAATATAATATGTTGTGTAATGTAGCTGGTACACGCAAATTCTCATTCTCGTACTCCACATGCTGGCTGCGATTTGATTTTGAATTCGCATTTTATTTTTATTTTTTCTTTACAGGTTTTGCAGTGGTGTCGAGCTGTAGTACGGTGTCGTCGCCTTGGACGCCCGGCGGGGGAACGGCCGGTGGTAATCCGGACGGTCCTGATGGCGGTGGTAACGGTATGCGCAGCGCCGCGGGCGTGAACGCGGGCAGCAACCTAAGCTTGGACGTGGACGATTGCGATGACGACAAGGAGCTATCGGCGGCGGACGCGGAAGGCGTTTGGAGCCCGGACATTGAGCAAAGCTTCCAGGAAGCACTGGCCATATACCCGCCCTGTGGGCGCCGCAAGATAATACTTTCAGATGAGGGTAAAATGTACGGTAAGTCATTGCGGCGACGCATCATATAATTTAAGTAGTATTAATAATAAAGAACCCAATGACTCGTTTAGATTTTGCTTGTGTATATCTTACATATGTTTGCTGCACTTTGCACGAATTATCGTGTTTTGCGATATAATAATTTTTTAAACAATTTATTTTTATTTTTTAAATGTGAATTGTTAGTCCTTTGTCCTCTTCTTGTCGCCTTATTACTTCTCATTATTATCACGTACATTACATAGTATTTTTTTATTTCATGTCGTTGAATATTTGATCGAAAATGGTATTTAGAATGTTCGTTATATCGTTGGGAATATTTTTATGCACTTAAATATTATATTCATAAAAGTGGTGTATTTTTCCATAATATAATTTTTGATTTCGTCGAATTTTTTCTCTCTCCCTTTTAAGATTAATCGTATTTTTATATAACTACGTTCAGATTACATCGAAACTTGGAAATATTATTTTAAAACTAACGAAATATGATGTTTTTTGATAAAGGGTTACCTAATAATAATAAGTCTTTGTTGTTTATATACACAAATTATTTGTTCGATATAGATTTTTATCTTAACTTACTATAAATTTATTTTATAGTGCTATAAAAAAAAAATAGGTATACAAGTGTACTTTTTTCGTCGACATTTAGGTAAAAAATAAATATATTTATATAAGTACATACTGATAATGTGTCATATAATAATAATACTTTTGTTCCGTGTATATAATAGAATTTTAAATGTTTAAAAGACTAAAAGTTGCCAAGCATTTTTATAGCACGCTCTCCATTGTGCAGCACACCTGTTATTATTAATTTATTTCTCTTTTTCCTTAACTTTTTCTTGTGTCGGACCCTCATGAATTTATTGCTGTTTTGCGCGCTCACATACATTATATATAAAATATATATAATGTATATAATTTTTGTCTGCTCTAAACCGACTTTTGAAAGCTTTTGTCTTCCATCGTCTCGCTACCGAAAGTGACCCTTTTTGTCTTTCGACCGCATTTTACTCAAAAACTTATCTCGCCGAAAACTTGGAGCTGTAAATACTTTTGCGATTCAAGGCACTATAAAAGACGAAGTTTTTATTGTTATCTCTTCACCCTCTCACGTCTATAACAATTCTTTACGTAATATTTGGCAGTTTTACTTGTTCATCGAGTGTTGGTGTGGTTCTTCTATCAGTGATTTCAGTATATACCTACTTACCTACCTACATTTTTACTATAGGGAATCGTAAACTGATACTAAAAAATTATAATAATAAAAATAATGGCATGAAATAAGAGGGATGAGCAGATGTTTGTGTATAAAATAAAAGGGTCACGTGTATGAGGGGTGATCTAAAGTTTAGCTTAGATATTCATTGGATAATAAAATTACTTATATAAAGGGGATTTAATAGTTTTTACGTCTTTTTGTGGTAACTAAAATACCACATAGAAAGAATTAAGAAATTGGTTAAAATTAATAATTAAAATAACGTCAAAGTTAAATATAGCATAAATTATATATTTTTGCATATGAATATTTAACGATAAAAAAAAAGAACTACAGAGCATTTGTTATTTTCAGTATTTCACAAAATGTCTTTTCGTATAATAGAATTTAATTCATTTTATATACATAGGGAGTATATATTTAATATTATAGAGTAATTTTAATTCCAGATAATAGATAATATCTAGTTCAAAAAAAAAAAAAATCAAATAGGTACAATATTATAAATTACCGTGAGAGTTTGAAAAATATTTCTTTTTAATTTTCAAAATTATAAAATACAATATTTTTTTTATATATAAACCTCTACGAGTATATTCATATTAACTAAATAATCTGTAAAACCCGCCTTCCATTTCGCCGAAAAACAAAAAAAGTTTTCGTCATTGATAAATGTTCAATACCGTGAAAAGTATTTTATTATACACATATTAGACATTTTAGCATGGTTTATTATAATAAACAAGTTGCAATAAATATAATTTTTGTGATAATATTTTGGCAGTGCAAGGTTTTGTAAAGGAAATAGACGAACCCAGTTTTTGGTGCGTATTGAAGTGGTGGAGAAGCGTTTTCATCCCTTGACGCAGGGTTCCGATTTATATGGGCAAATGACTGTAGGGGTGGTGGTGAGGTGGTTAGGATGCGGGTCAAAGGGGTTGTTTTGCGGCAGTCGATGGTGATGATCGGAGGTTGTATGTTACGAGGGGACGATGAAGGGAGCTGTGAAAGGGCGACAAGAGGAGTAGACAGAATAAGATATATGTATATACGCCTGTGCGCGAATGTATGTGTGTGCTTAGTGAAAGAGAAAGGGGATAGGGTAAGGGTGTAAGGGAGTAGTGGAAGAGACGATGGACGAACTATGCCAAGAATGTGCAATTAGTGTATATACACACTCGTCGGGGGTGCTGCTATAATTCACCCTTGACTCCGACAGTGCTCTGCGTGCCTAGAGTATAATAAGGGAGGAAAGAAAGACATAAGAGGCCATCTCGGTCGAGTCCTCTTACCTACCCTTCCCCGCGCCATTAACACGTAATCTTCCTCCGCCTCTTTTTCCTCGGTCTATATATATATATATATATATGTATATGTATATGTATATGTATATGTATATGTATATATATTCTAGCATATATGACGTGCGGAAAGCACAACGTAGTCCTAGCGATTTTCTGCTCTCTTTACCGCCGCCGCCACCGCCGCCACACCCATGCAGCTTTTGCCCTACGTGCTATATATCGCCTTTAACTTCTTCGTCAAAGCACTCTTAACCTTTTATGTGTGCCTCAAAATAAAAGCCTAGGTTATATCTCCTTGTATATGACTTGATTGCTGTTACTTGTACTCGTTATTCGCGCCTTCAACAATTGCAAATTTTCACTATTTATTTGGTCGTCTAACGACAATTTAACATTATTCGACTCACAAAGCTATGTACATTTTTATAGGATATTTTTTATTTATGTTTCTCTTGGACTGAGTCTACAGTAAATCTTTTGCCTATAACACCAAGAAATAACATGAATTTTATTTTTTTTATTTTATATAATTTAATTGCACTCAAACTTATTTCATAATATAATACATTAGCAATACATAGTAAACACCTAAAAAAAAAAAAAATCGGTTTTATTTTAATTGTATATATTTTACCTGAGATTTTTAATTAATAATATATACATACCTATCTATTTTATAATACATCTCGAACAAATCCAAATGTATTGTCCAGTTGAAAGTGTAAGAAAACTATTGACATATTTTTCTAATTTCTAAGATAATATAATTTTAAATTTCTCAAATAATTTTGTCCTTTATTAAATCTATTAACACAGTCGTGTGCGTTTTCATTCCGTTTACATTTTAAATTATCCGTTTATAATAGTTTTAATTTATGGTAGCTCTTAGATTTACATATTTATTTCACTTCTCGATATAATGTTAAAAACTCATGTTTTTAACAAGTAGCAGATTAACGCACTCAGGGTTAAATAGTGCTTGAATAGTTAAATTTTGATATCGTTATATACTTAGTATACGTTAAAATGTATTTAAAATTGTATAATTCATATCCATATCGATATTTATATGTATCATTAACTAGGTTAATAAATTCATATAGGTATTTTCATTGGAGAACAATCGACTTTTTTTTTTTTTGTTTTGCGTAATTGAATTATTTCGTTAAGCTAAAAAAAAGTATGTTAAACTATTATTACATTAGATTTTTAGAATGTAATTCAACAATAAACTTTTTCCATTGCATTGCGTTATAATATAATAGTTAAAAGTTTCATTTGATAAATTCTTACCGTCTCACAGTTACTGAGTTTTAAATAATTCAAACTTCCTATTATTGACAAGTCAATACACACTGAACAATAATATAAAAGCAAAGTCAAAAACATGGACTTGAAAACCTTTTTTTTTTCGTAGAGGATTGTGACATGTTGAGTTTGCATTTTTCATATTAAAAATCCAAGAAAAAATATTATAGTACTTCCTCTTGATTAAAATACCTATGTCGGTTTAGAAAACAAACATATTTGTTGTTGGTTGCATCATACATGTAATAAGATCTCCAAAGCTCTTTGGGCTCTCATTTTTCATTTTAAGTTTCTTTTAACTGCAAAAATATTTTGCAATATGATTGTTTCGAATGTTTTATTTTATTTTATTATTATGTGTTATTAAGGTGCCATTTTAATAAACAATATATATTTCGATGTCACCGAAGCAAACCACCTTAATACTTGAATATTTACACGAAAGAAATTTCCTTGGTGAAAATGTATGTGGATTACACCTTTTGGCGTTTTTATAGCTTTTTAAACTCGTATTTTATAGTATACATTTAAATATAATACATGCATTTAATTTATTTAACACCTTTCATGAAGGGTCTTTAATAATCCATTTTATTTATTTTCTTTGGTTTCAATAAGTTTTTAAAACTTTTAATGTTATTTATGAACCTTCTATTGGGGAAAAAAATGTTGGACAATTTTCAGACACCAAAATATTGAAATTAAGATATTTTATTTTGCAACTATGATTTTGGGCCTAACCTCGTTAGGTTGATTGCAGTGGTGAGATTAGTTATTATTAATATATGAATATATTATAGCATTATTGCTAGTCACAGTCTTGAAAATTAACACACGGCTGTTAAATACATCTCAGAAATGTAAACTGTGGCGGCGGTTACTAATCAATTTATTCGTTCCATTTGAAATAAATTAATTGAAAACGCGAGTAAAATCCGACATTTATAATGCTTGTGTTTCGTCCTAACCCCAAGACGTTTCCTATCTAACGACCCTGTATGCTCGATTGACCTTTGAAGTGTATTAAAAAATGTCGGGAAAATAAAAGTCAATAAGAAATCCCAAGAAATTCTATTCTTACCGCTACAGTTATTGCTGATGTTAACTATCGTGGTGATATGGATAATCTGTCGAATCTGTCGTATACAAATGCGCAC